GATTAATTAAGAAATATTGGGTTAAATACATTGACAAGAGAGGAGATAATTTTGAATAATGTTTGCCATCGTACTTATCATAAAACGCAGATTGTGTGTGTCTGTACATTTACATATTGAATCGGATTTCCTACATTTTTCAACCGATTTCAACAAAACTTCACAGGACTACGTAAAATTACCTTGCGGTGGTTCTGACAACACCAAAAATTGGAAAAATACAATTGTTTTTGCACGAAATCAATTTGAAAACATGATACTGTCACCAGAATGAAAGAGGGACAACTCATATCAAGTTATACTTATAAAACCCAGGTTGTTTGTGTGTACTCATTTATATATGGGATTGGATTTCCTACATTTTTCAACCGATTTCAACAAAACTTCACTTTTTTTTTGGCAGGGAGTGTTTCTTATTGTCTTGCACACTTTTTTCTTTATTTTTACATTCAGAATGCTTTAAAAATTCCATTTACAAGACAATTGTTTATAATAAAATTCTATTCAATCAGACTCATAATAATTGAAAACAATGTTTTTGTTTGAGTTTGGGTTTGACTAATTCATAAAAAAAAACAAAAAAAAAACTAATCAAGACATGCGTGTCCATCAACCTTAAACAATAATCTTTGTCAATTTTATTTTTCAGTCTTTATGATGGTCGATATTTGATCTATCTCTTACTGTTACATCCCCGGGCAACGCCGGGCTCTACTGCTAGTGTAAAATAAATACCATTTTCATCACTGGCTTACTGTCCATAAATATAAAATAATCACACAATGAGTGTGGATGCTAATAAAATAGTGCTCAATCTATAAAAATAGAGCTTTAATTTATATTAATAATAGATGTGTTGAATGTTTATTTACCTACGTGCATGTATTAATATTTTTTCTATGAATATGATATATCATGATATTTGTGTGTATATTTGTATTATATTTAAAAATTACTTATTAGATGTGTATACTTGTATTTGAATTATATTTTTATAGTTGGAGGTATGTAAGATGTATATATTTTTGTATATATGTATAAATAAAATGTACTGCTCCACTATCATTATATATCAGTTTTCAATCAGCACCTAACAATTGCATTGTACATGAAACTTAGAGTTATGCTACCAGTAAGGAACTGTAACAATAACAAAGATTCTTTGTTTTTTTATAAAATACAGTCAACCAGGGTATTTTAGAAGCATAGTGCCAAACATCAAGAGATAGAGCACTAATAATAATAAAAAGATGTTCCCTTATCTTGCCACTATTGAAGCTTAATGGATTTAACTTCCAAAAAACACCATGTGATAATTATTAGACTTCAAGAAAGGTCTATTCTTGGTGATAGACAAAATTAAATTTGCTACCAATGATCTAAAGCAAGAAAGTGCAAAAGGATATTTCAATGATCAAAAAAACAGATAAAATAATTATCAAAGCAGATAAGATGAGTAACCATTATAAGATCAATGCTGATATGTACCATAAAGCTATTAACAAAGAAGTTAATAAGTTTTATAAAAAAAGCACCCAAAAATTGAGAAAATGAAGCCAAGAAACTAGCCACTGAATTAAAAGTTGATGATCAACAAGCATTCATCACAGTTAAAGACCACAAAGCAAATTTCCTAACAAACCTCAATACTGATTACTCAACCCAACTAAAAATAATATTGGTAAAATCTGCAAAAACATGCTTGAAAGAGCATGCAAATACATAAAAAATTCTCTAGGAATTAACCAGTGGCATAAAACAGCAAAAGCCATAGAATGGTTTATTAATATTAAAAGGGAGAAAGAATTTATGTTCATCTAATTCAATATTTGTGACTTTTAACTATCACTGAAAAAATACAATCTGTCCCTTAAACGGTCAATGTATGACTAATAATATTGTATACCAAGCTAGCATACATTCTGGTAATGATGTCAAATTTGATTTTGGTTCCACTGAAAATCCTTGAAAATTTTGTTTCTACCATCAGCAATTACACTTTAGGCAATATACAATATAAAATACAAAAACAGCACTATTGTCTCTAATCATTTCTGGTGATTAAAGGATGGGAGTAATAAACCTATTATTATGTGGGATATTGTGGCAAGAGCCAAATTTTACAATGGGAAAGGCAATAAATGTAATTTATGTCTTGTTGAAAAATTAGTTACCTTAAAACCCTTAAATAACCCTAGCTTATTAAACAAGAGAAATGAATTAATAGTTACATGTTGGCATAAAAATAAATATATACTCAAATATGTTGATCCAGATTAATTTTTAATGTAAATTAGGGTTTGTTTTCTTTTGAAAAAAGATCCAGTAATCTCCCATTATGATTAATATAAAAAATAAATTTTTACAGTGCTGAAATTATTTTTTAACACACACACACACACACATATATATATATATATATATAAAGTCCATTTAATATAGATGCCAAATATTTTTTTTAATTAAAAAACTGTACTCCCAGTATGATATGTAACTGCAC